TTTGCTCCCATATGCTTGTCACTAAATACTATTACAGCAATCATTGCTGTTGAATATAAGCATTATTTATGTTCTTATAATTGGCCAAGGTGTATCTCAATATTGACTGTGAAAAAGTTGATGGCATCATATATTCCCTAAAATTAACAGGAAAGTGTTTTCACATCTCTTGCTAAAAAAGACCAACAATCATTAGAAAGTCTGCTGTACATTACAGAGAAGTTTGCTCATGACAGACTGGACATAAAACTTCTCAGCAATGGAACTTACTTTAAATAAATAAATAAAACACCACTGGAATGGTTTCTGAACAAAAATGCAGTAGATCCAAGTAAAATGCATACTAATATTACCAATAATTCTTACTAGAAATCACCTGACTGACAAAATGTTTTCCAATGTTCATTCACAACTAGAAATGACACATCCTCACAGGACAAAAGCTTACTGTATTGACAACGTTATGTGGATTGGATTTCAATAGGAAATAAAAGTTAGTTTAGAAAGCACATGATGCAACTATTAACGTTTCAAAGAGACTGAAAGGTATTTCCTATACTTGTTCACCGCTACATAATTGAAAGAATTGCACATTTAATTATTTTTAATCTAATGGGGAAATGGTAATAGAAATTTATTAAAAGTGCTGTAAACGGTACTACAATCCAGTATTTTCAATTCTTACATTATATCATCATTTCACTGCTGATGCTGATTTAGCTTTTGGAAACATCCTTCTTTTTACAGTTTCGTGGAAAGCAAGACTACAGGAGGCACTTCCAGGTAAAGTGTCTGCACATCAGGCTTAATTATCTTATAGTACAATGGACTAGAGATTTCAGGTATGATCATGAAACTTATAAAAGATTTTGGGCTAGGTTTTTTTGTTTGTTTGTTTGTTTTAAAGCACAAACCGTTCAGAATTACAGAAATTAAATTTGTCCAACTTGAACAAAAGACAGAATGAAGCCATGACTCTACAATACTGACTTTTCATATAGAAAAATGTAGCTGAAAGGATCAGAGAACATTTTTATGTACTATAAATATGGTACAACAGATAAGGCATGCTCTCTGGCAACTTCCACAGGGAATTCCATCAATTTTTAAATGTGGTGAAAATTGGTTGACAGACACAGTGGGTGAATGTTTTTCACTTCCTTCAGAAACTGCCTGCTCTGGCACAATCCTGTCTTAAAATTCAAAGTCTGAGCATGCCCATGCTGAGGGTGCTGTGCAGAGCTCCTCTGCAGCAATCATCATACCTAAGAACTGATAATAAATTCTTTTATCATATATGTCACGTTCACCTAGAAACAAGTAATGGTGACGGTAGAGACCGTTCTCGCGGTGAACGAATTTCCCAGAACGACAGGAAATGCTCTCTCTGCAGCACCTGGCTCTGCAGCCCCATTCCTGCAAACAAAAACGCCTCTACCTGAAACACCTTAACCCCATTCGGACATATCATACCGGGAAAATAATAAAGATTTTTTCTTTTTCCAAAGATTTAGCTTTACCGGCAGCCGACTGCAGCTCGGGGAAAGCCCAGCTGGGAGCGGGGCCCGTCGGAAGCCCCGTCACGAGCACAGCGCCCGAAGGACAACGTGCCCTGCAGGACGGCACAGGGCGGGATAAGCGCTCACTAATTAATATAGGTCCGTCCGCGCGCACGCAGGTTGCCGCCGATGCGGGCCTGCCCACCCCCACCCCCGGCCGTACCTTCCCGCCGCGCTCCTGCGCCGCCGCGGCTCGCGCCGCTGCCCCCCCCCCAGCCCGACCCCTTCCCGCCGGCGCCCTCAACAGTGGCGGGGGCCCCACCGGGCCTAAGAGCGGGGGGGCAGCAGCGGCCCGGCCCAACACAAACGGGGCCACAACCGCACTGCGGTAAGGGGCAAGTAACAAAGAGAGACACCAGAAAGCCTCCGTTTTCTTTTTAAGCTTGCAGCCTTCCCCCTGAGGCAACCTCTTAGCATTCCAGGCATTTTTGCTCCCAGTTTTATTTAGGTACAGGATGAAACAATACCTTTTGACTTCTAAGCCACTACTTATTTTTGTCTCTCATGCAAACATTTCCAGAAGTCTTGTTATTCTTGACTTTCCCTTGCGTCTTTCCTTCATCTACAGCCATTAGCTTATGCTCTGGGATACCAGCACACAGAAGATCTACCACTTACACTGTGTGTGTGTTTATTTTTTGTTTGTTTGTTTTGTTTTTAATCTTTTCATTCACTGCTGTTTAGCAAGCCAAAAGAACTTAAGAGCCTCCTACAGAGCCTTTCAAGACCAACTCCTCCTTCTTAAAGGTACTTTAACTGTAGTAGATTCACAAGAAAGTATTTTTTCTTGTACTTCAACTTCCCACTACAAAGATTAAACTGCATCTACTAATATTACCTTGCTACTTAAAGGTAGTAAAATGCCGCTCCATGCATGTGCGGTCACCTTCATACTCTTCTGTCTAAACACTGTCGCCTCAGTAATTACCCACCTTTTGCAGATCATTTTCATTAGAACAGTTATAGATCCAATCCAAACATATTGAAGATTTTTGATTGGGTAGAAGATATGAAATATAGGGTCAGTGTTCATAACACTAAGAGGCAACTGAATATTTTTACAACGCCTTTTTTTTTTTTTTTAAGCCAATTTAAATACTGCCCAACTGCCACAATGGTTAGAGGCTGACCTGCCAAGAATGATGCTCAGTGTAAAAGTGATCCAGGAAGTTACCACAACAAATGTACTCCAAACAGTTATTTTCCTTCCTATTGTCACACACTGCTCTTTTTATACCACGTTCACTTATTAGTCCCAGTAGTGAAATGTTCTTCTTTCAGCAGAAAGAAACTTGAAGATTGCTTTAGGTCACCACCAAGCATTTAACTCTTTTTGATCGCTCCTTCTTATTTACATTTTTTTCTTAATTACCATAGAAGATCTTTTCTAGTTCTCAAAAAAAAAAAAAAAAAAAAAAAAAAAGAATGCAAGGAAATTTTCTTTAACACTTCCTGAACCATATCTATTCCACTACTTCTTAGGTGCATTCAGTGAATTGTTTCATTCCATAACCATGTTGTGATAAATTAAACCTCTCCAAAAAACAAAAGGAGAGGGATAATGGAGCCTCCTATTATTATTGTTGCTATTTTCTGCTATTAGTCTCTTTCCACTTGCTAGCTCCAGGAGGTTTCTGCTCAACTTGTACTTCTACAAAAATAAGATTCCTAACAGACCAACAACAGCTCAGACCTCGAATATGGGGTTCTATGGCCACCCTGGCTGTCCCTTGCTTATTCCCATCCTAATGCTTGTACAGACACTTATCAAAACAATTCAGAGAACACACCTCTTTGAAGACAAATTACCTATACTTGGTAGAGTTAATCATCATAATGAGTGAGGTCCCTGAATTAACTCACAGTCATGCAAGCACTAACAGCACTGCAAAGAGAGAGAGCTGGGACTACTGTGTACCCAGGTATCTCGGGTTAAGATACTACTGCAGATCAAGAGGCTGCAGCTCAGAGGCTCCTTCATTTACCCTAAGTTAAGTGCCTAGAAACACTAAAAAGTACTAGACAGTTGCTTAGACATCATGCATTCTGGTACAAAATCTATTATCAGTAGCTCCAAGCTGTCAGAGACAGTCAAAAAAAATAAAGCACACATGCACACAAAAACATCCCTACACAAAAGCAAACTGGAGGTTTCACACTAGTAAGTTACATGCAGTGAATGCTCCTTAAAACGTTTCACAAGCACAAAAGTGTACTGAATCACCAACGCATCACTCTCCACATTAATATTTCATTTACATTGCAGAATACATTAGAATCCTTTGCACATAATGGCTAGAAGAAATGCAAGCTCCAAGATTTCTACATTTGAAATATGTTGAAACAGAAGTTCAGGAAAAGTTGCCTATTTTGCGAAGGAGGGAGGGGGAAGAGAGAGGGAAAAAAAAAAAAAAAAAGGAAGGTTTGCAAACTGCTAGGATGTTCAATTCCATAAGCCATGTCTAGGAGATGGAATTCTAGTAGTCAAGTTGTTTGTTGCTCTTCCATATTTAATATTTGAACCATATCTTAAGAACTCAAGAAAACCAGAGACACTAAATAGTCATAAATAGTCATCTAGAATTGCTTTAGACTTTCTCCCTCTCTAACACTTTTTATTAGGATTAACTCTCAAAACTTAAATTCTGTTGCATTTCCTTTTGTGTACTGCAAAGAATAAGCTCAGAAAGAGAAAATAAGATAAGCTAATTCGATTTTCTGAAGTTTCACTGGTAGATTATTGTTAACTTTTTAAAATTAAACACCAAGTCTCTCTGATTATTACGGATCCACAATTATGGTCTAGTGCTACAATAATAATACAAGTAACAAATGATTGCACACATCCTCCAGACACCATCACCCATGACCCAGTTTCTCATATCAATCTTGACTTTATCCATCCTTTAATTTAATAAATAAATTGGTAAGCCACTAGTAAGAGAAGAGTAGCTCTAATTCCATCTAAACCTTATCACCCCCCTCTCCCTTCTTTCTAGTCTTCTTTCACTAGCTTCTTCCCTTTCACAGGGCAAAGGAGTGCACATACAAACAGGCAACGTAACTCTCTTGTTAAACTCAGCAGTTCATTTATTTACAAGCCAGCAAAAATGCTATACATTGTTACTGTTAACATACCATTTTCAGTCTTTGCCTTTTAGCTAGACTAAGATCATTCAAAAGCAAGGTTGAATCGATTTCTACAACTCTTAGAACCACTTGCAGAAAGTATTCTTTTGCTCTTTAACTGTCCAAAATATTAAAAAATATCAATCCCAAAGCACTGTTCCCATAGAAGTATATGAATGGATATTTAAAAAAAGGGGGGGAAGAGAAGAACTACTGTCAAAGAAATAACCAAATATTTGCAGATGATACTTACACTGTTCTTAAGTACAAAGAAGTGTATAGAGAATAAAAGCAGATATGTATTTTTGTACTGCATTTCTTAAAAGTTTTTTTTTCAAACATCTCTTCAGGACTGGTGTGGTTTGTACATCAATAGTGGAGACACTGGCAAGAGTGGTGATATTGGAGTCGTAGTCAACACTTGATTCTGGAACACAAAAATTTTAATCCTACCAAACACCCAAAGAAAGATAAGTAGGATGCTGACATACTGGATCCAAGCAAATTTAATCATTTCCCAAAATCCCGGCTGATACTTAAAGAAAGTCAAGGAACAAGGAACTGAGAAGCTTCTGATACTACTACACAATAACTAAGTGAAAGAATTCTTTAAGCAAAATAGCACAAAAACGGTTAGACATCAGCTGAAAAGACTTTGAGGCAAGGAAACCTCAAAAAGTCTTTTTTTGCAATACACAACAGAAGCTGCAACAAAATGTCTGACCAAGAAAATGCCGGAACAAATTCTGTCTGTTTTCTCCCTGGCTCACCAGAAAGCATACAGGTAAGCAAATCTGATGAGATACATGGTCTGTACAGCATCTTCTACACACAGGCTTGTTCTTGTTTGAAAAACTGAGTAAAGAATGTAATGAAGAAAGAATTATGCTGGAGTAGAACTTTCAGCTCCTTCTGTACATGACCCAGATCAGCAAGGGGCACTGCAGGGAGTAATATCTGGTGATGTTATTTCACATACAGATTCTGAATAACCTGTTTTTGGTCAGAAACTGGAGTATTAAGCTTGGTCAGGGGCATCCTTGACAGATTGGGACTGCAGGTGCTCAAGCAAAGCAAGACTTACTGAGGACATTCACTACAAATTGCTAATAAATTGATGCAAAGGACAGTTTAGCAAGGCTGAAAAGCAACACGTGCTCCCAACTAGAGAAAAGAAATAAATGATTGTTCAAGCAGAACATCTCAAGGGTGCAGACAGTGGGAAAGACATGCAGGTGTATCTGCAACACGGAAGGACAGATACGTGAACAACTCTTCAGCTACTAAGTGTAAGCTTAGCTAATAAGGGAAGATTAATAAGTTTAGAATAAAGGATAGTGTTATTAATTTGACCTGTATTTTAAAGTCTGCATAATGCTATCCGGTTATGTCACAATTTACAAAGGATATATAATAACTTCCACTGGGTAGTGAATAGTGGCATTAATGATAAATGGTGTATCTGCTGCTCTTCCAATCATCCAAACAGGGTTGGGATTTGACAAGACTGTTGTTACTAAAATAAACAAAGAATATTTCCAGGTTAAGGGGCTTTTCATTCTTAATACAGAATTCAAATCCTCAAAATAGCTGCTCATGTATTCACTACTGCTGTCCTGAAAGCAGCAGCCATACAATCAGGCTTACCATTTCTATCTTGATATGCTGCAATGATGTTTGTTAGATCATAGTCACTTGCAAAAGGACTTGTGCCATTGATCACAGACACCTGTTACCACAGGGAGATACATGCATTATTTGTCTGCTTGTCCAGAAAGCAGTTGTACTGAGCTTGTTACACAAAGTAATCATGCCTTTAAAGACAAGACAAACATGCAAACATCAGGCTGAACATCTCAACAGAAGAATCTCTTCTAATGAAGCATCAGTTCAGAAGTTCTAGGGTCCACGCTGTGCTCTAGGTATAAATAGTTAGTGTCATCCACGGTGCTACAAAAATAGAGAGAGCAACTTAGGGAAGAAAACTGAATTTTCTCACATTGTATCTGGTATCCAGTCCACAATGGTTAAGTAATTGCTTCTGGTTCAGTTTCAGGTCTCCATTCACATAGAGATGAGACCCTGGTAGAGCAGAAAAAAACTGAAGGAAAGCCATGCTCTGCATCACAAATGTTGACATTCTCTGAAACAGTGAACATGAGAGAAGAGACTTTAGGGAAACAAACTTTAGTCACTTGGTACCTATAGATTTTCTGCATGGATTTAACTTTATAGATTTCTAAGTTTCAGATCATTACATTATTTTAGAGAAGGGAGATTATGTTTGTTTTTCATTTAAGTGGATTAGTCATTAGCTAACCAACTTTATAAACAAAATTCCACAGGTCATTCACTGAAGTTTGACAATTTGTGGCAAATGACAAAAAGACTGGACCTGCTGTAACATGTGAAAAGCAACAAGATGACAAGATGATTAAACAAACTTACTGGGGAGACACACTTTCGTCAGTCAAAGCCAACTAAGGATTCCTGCCCTGCAATAAGGGCCACAGAAGGAAGTTCCTTAGCCCACACTGACCCCTCAGTCTGAAGGGAAATTCTAACGTTTTTTGTAAAACAAAGGCAACGTGAATATCAAAACTTTCCACAAATATTAACCACTGACCAAAGACTTCCATACACAACAAAGTTATGATTGCCATCTTCCGGGCGTCAGAGGCTTAAGAATGTACTTTACACTACATCACTTTGTTTGCTAACCTTGTCCATCTACAGTCAGCTAAAGTACCTTGGCTAAACTAAACCTGAACTCTCTAGTAAAGCTTCTCTTGTCTGTGTTGTTCCTTTCAGAACCATCCATGGGGTTTCTGTGCTCTAGTGTTTCAACCAGTGCCTTAGATATTAATGGAACCAAGTTTTCAACACTTTGCCACTCAAGAGAGCCACAGTTCTGTTGCTGCTATTGCATCCTCCAACCTCCCTGCTGGACAAGAGTTCTATCTTCCAGCCTCTCCACAACACCTACTTCCCTCTCACATCTATGAGGTACAGAAGATCCTGGTAAATGATTACCATTAGTTCGAAAACTGCCAAAGAAACAAAGCTTAAGATTTTTTAAACTGCTTGGTAGTTCGCCTCTCCATTTCATCAAATTGGCTATGTCAAGCGTACACCTTTCTGCAAAATTCTTGGATATGTTCTGACATCATCCCAGCCAGACATCACTGTACATTCTCTATCAAGCTCTTCATTTAAGCTGCATCAAAGACCAAGAGAACACACAGCTTAAAACAGAACAAAATGCCAATAGAACAGGGAATAAAACAGATCAGTACTCTAATGGAACCTATCAAAACACGGAAATAGATTAAAATAAATTAGAAATAGATTCTAATAAATTAGAAATGACCTAAACTGCATTATTATTGAACAACATAGAAAACAATTAAGTATTGGTTAAGTTAAATCTTCTGGATACCAATATCAAATGTGTAAGTTTTTATGCATTGCATAATTGCTACTGAAATATTACATTGGGCTTAAGTGGCACAACAAATAAAATCATAAAAATGCTCACATGAAGTTGGTAGGAAAAGACCAGAATCAGCTGAACACCAACTACATATTCCGTAGATTGTAATGGAAGCTCCAGCTTAAAATGTAACTGATCCATTTTACCATCTTGATTTTTGTCTTCTTCTCTAGTCTAAAAGAGACAATAGTAGTTGTAACAGTTCTTGCCTTAAAAAAAAGGCATTTAAGGATTCAATACTCGGATTTTCAGAATCATAACATGCAAACATAGCAAAGAACCTTAAAGTAGATAAGCTGCATTATTAAAACAATAACAAAAACAAAACAGTGCAAAGCCACTTATCTTTAAAGACAAGACAGTAGAACCAAGCACGATGTCTGCATTAAGTTTACTATACAAGGTTCAACGTGCTCCCCAGAGAGGAAAGACTTGTCAGATTCTTCAAACACTTCTGCCCTATGCCCTTCTGACCATCTCCTTTGCATGCCACAATGAGCTCTGGTCTTCTGCTACAACCTCTAGCAACTGTGACTGACGGCAATGAGCTTGTCCCTTGCCTTTATGGCACACAATACAGCGCCCTTACAAGCTAACTTTTGATGGCACCTGTAGGCTATTGCTTTGCATGAGTCGTGGCTGCAAGGACATCAATATGTCCAAGTCCTCAGAATAGGACGACAAAGAGGTGATAAAACTGGTTAAAAGTTCCCTGCCCAGGTCAAGTCCACCGCGAGGCACTAAGCGGAAGGAGCAGCCGCCTCCTGGCGGCAGCACTCGGGATCACGGACTCCCCGGCCTGCTGTAGGGCGCCGCTCCCGTCACTGCGCCGGCGCCCGGGCGCGCCTCGGCCGGGCCTACCGACAAGAGCGGGACGCGCAGCCGCTCCTCCTGGAGGCGGTTGAACGCGGGGAAGGTGCTCCACGCCAGGAAGCTGCCCGGGCTGGGCCCGGTGGTGGCCACGAAGAGCACCTCGTAGCGGAACCGCACGGTAGGCTGTTCCAGGTAGGTGCTCTGCTTCAACCAGAAACCTGCAGGCGGAGAGCGCGGAGCCTCAGCGCTGGCTGCTGGAAGGGT